AAAACTGTAACAGTTAATTGAACTAATTTTTTTTTTCCGATTAACCTATTATCTAAAGTTTTTTAGCTAGATTTTTAAATCATTGAAATTATAAATAAAATTAACGTTTGGCTATACGTGTGATTAATACGCAAGGAGCTACTGCACCACTTCAAAAGACGAATTGTCCCTCGCATTAAACACTAATTGATGAGTTAAGTTTTTTCAACAAAATTTGGTCGACAATTTGGTCGGAATGACCAAAATTGATAAAAATTATATAGTGAAGGTACTAAATTAACACGTTTGAAAGTCGTGGAGTGCACAAGACCCCTATAGTCACAGAACCAACATTGAAATTTACTCTAATTAAGTAATAAATATGATTTGGAAAGTAGATATATTTTGTTAATTAGAAATAAAAGAGTTTACTAATATAAAATACAAGTTTAAAATATTCTGTAAAAAAGAACCCGGTCAATATTGACTATTTTTTTTAATGATGTGGCATCTCATTCACTGTCGGTGTATAGCATCTATACATCCACGGTGCATCAAATATTAATCCATGACAAAATTGATACGTTGATGATCCATGTGCATGCATTTGATCAAGGGACATGAATCACAACAAAACCAAATATACTATATATATGAAATATAATACTTTTGATCCCTAAATGATAATGATATAGTCATTTTTTCTTCAAATATAAACCAATAATATTTCCCATATTTTCCTATTTAACTATCTCAAAGTAGCTAATTTAACCCAACCATTAATAGAAGTCTTAAATGTAAAAGAGTATGTAGCCTAGAAACTTAAATTTGGAAGCTTTTTCTATAATTTAAACTCTTAGGCTCTTAGCTCATGACAATAACTGTAGAAGGTACATTTAGACCTGTATTATACTCTGAGGAATTTTTATTTACAGAGTCAATTCAATTAAGAGACAAAATGCTTGTTTAAACAAAAAAAAAAAAAAAAAAAAAAAAAAAAAAAAAAAAAAAAAAGAGATAAAATGCTAGTTAAAATTAATTTTTTTCAATCAAGAGAGTTCGAACATTTATCAAAGTTTACACACCATATTATAGTGTGAGTGTGAGAAATTCTCAAATGAATGTAGGTAAAAGACTAAAGAATGAGCGTAGTCATATTTTTCAAAAAAAAAAAAACAAAAGGAGCAGTCATCCTCACACACTTCATCTTCATCTTTCCCAGTTCCGGTAAGCTTTGTTTTGATTCTCTCCTAGACCAGACACCCTTTTTTATCAAAACATCATCACAACATTTATTAATCTCTCTCCACATCCAGTAATGCCTCTGTTTCGTATGACCAAGAGAGCATTTCCATGGCTCTTCTTCCCGCAAACATGTTCCATTTCTTATTCTTCTCTCAATCAGCCCTTTGTTTGCTCCCTTATGTTCGCCCCCTTTCCACAGTCGCAATATCTCAAGCCGGTAACCAAACGCTGCTCATATGTTCATTGGTGCAGGGTCCTTCTCACCAGGGCCGGTTTTTAGATTTTTGTGGCCCTGTTCGAGTAAATAAATAAGGCACTACCAAAATTAAAATCTTTAAAACTAATACCATAATTTTATTATCAAAATATATAACACAAAAAAATTATCTGTGCATCGCACGCACACTGCACGGATAATTGGGTAATTATTTGCTCGAATTCAAGCAATGATAACATAAAGAAACATAATCGATACAACTCATTTCATCAATTGCACTATATAATATTCGTTGTTATAATTTAAAGATTATAACAAATCTTTTCCGTGCAACGCACAAGTAAAAATAGACATATTATGGAATAATAATAATAATAGTGTGCACAAGGTTCACTAGGCCTCAAAGTTAAAATATAATAAATACATGTTCCTACCATTTTTTTATAAAGCCTTTTAGGTTTAATTAAAAACTTTTAATTTTTATTTCTAAACTAACTAGGTAAAAATAAAATATTGAGCTTCTAAAATTTAAGACCCCTCTAAAATTTGGGGCCCTGTGCGGTAGCCCAGCTTGCACAGCCTAAAATCCGGGCCTGCTTCTCGCCCGCTGGGTTCTTCATCCCTCAAATGCACGAGCTTTCCGGCGGGAAGTGTTCGGATTCCTCTAAACCCCTCTGTTTCTTACTCTAGGCTTGTGGGTGGAAATGGTTTCCTCTGTTCTTATACCTTTTCTTTTTCTTCACCCTTTTCCGTCATGGAATGTTGGAGATTTTCAGTAAACGGGACTGAGGTGGCGTACAAGAGAATCTACAACGGCCCGAAATTGGTTGATCTTGGTTCCGGGAATTCCCACATTTGTGGAATTGTGGACTTTTCTGGGGTCATTCAGTGCTGGCAATGGCCGGAGTTTCGCCAGTCCAATGGCCAGAGTTCCCTCACCACGAATCTCGCATTGGGTCAAGATTTTGTTTGTGGGTTGCGCGATTCAGGCAAAGTTCAGTGCCTGGGGAGTGATTCAAAGGTCACCAAACATGCCCCCAAAGGGACTTACTTTGATTTGGCCGCAGGTTCGCACTACGCGTGCGCTATTTTGCTGGATGAGCGGTTGGATTGCTGGGGAGATATGACCGAAGAAATGCCGGAGGGCGAATTTGTTAGTCTTGCCTTGGGAGACAATAGGGGATGCGCTATAAGATGGTTTAACAGAACCGTAATTTGTTGGGGAGAAAATGATTTTAGCATCCCTCAAGAGTTGGAGGGCAGGCATTTCTTAGCATTGGCAGCAAGAGAAACAGTGTTTTGCGGAGTGCTGGAGGAGAATGCAATGTTGTATTGTTGGGGAAATGCCCTTTTGGATTTTAATCATAAGGTTTTTGACAAAGTAATATGTAAGCCGTGTATTGTTGATACTTTTACTCAGAATGCACCTTCACAACCGTCACCGTCTTCGGCCAGTGGAAAACGCAGTCATTGGGATGCAAAATATGTGGCATTTCTTGTGGTGGGATGCACTGTTTCTTTGATAGTTGTATTAGCTCTTATCCGTTACCTATTCCCTAACAGGAGGCTGGTTAGACGAGGAAGAAGCAGAGGCGGTCTTGGAAGAAAGGCCCAGCCAATTGGTAAGTATGGTAACTACTAGGATTTTAGAAGAGTTTACTCTACAAGTGTTGCAACAAGTTACGAATAACTTTTCTGATGAGCATCGAATTGGTAAAGGTAGTTTTGGATCCGTGTATCATGAGATACTGGAAGATGGGCGGAGAGTGGCCATCAAGAGGGCTGAGTTTGGCGGCGGCATAAGATACCGGCAGGAGGACAAGGACAGTGCCTTCCTCAATGAGCTAGAGTTTTTGTCAAGGCTCCATCACAAGAACCTAGTGAGGCTATTGGGGTATTGTGAGGATAAAAATGAGAGGTTGCTAGTTTTTGAGTACATGGAAAATGACACACTTCATGATCAACTCCATAGGCTTGAAAGCCCAGTGCTCATGTCATGGACCGCGCGGATTCGCGTCGCCTTAGATGCAGCCCGAGGGATTGAGTACCTCCATACGTATGCTGTGCCGCAAGTCATCCACCGCGACATCAAGTCATCCAACATATTGCTGGACAACACTTGGACTGCAAAGGTGTCCGACTTTGGGTTGTCCTTAATGGGACCTCAAGATGATAAGTCTCACCTTTCATTACAAGCAGCGGGTACGATGGGGTACTTGGATCCCGATTATTATATGATGCAAGTATTAACTACGAAGAGCGATGTGTACAATTTTGGAGTAGTACTCCTGGAGCTGCTATTGGGAAAGAAAGCCATTCATAACAGTGAAGACGGGGAGGCAAGGAATTTAGTGAATTATGTTATTCCGTACATACAACAAGATAATATTGCTAGGATTTTATACCGTCGAGTTCCTCCTCCGACACCATTCGAGATTGATGCAATCACGTACATAGGTTACGTAGCAGTAGATTGTGTGAAGCAACATGGCAGAGATAGGCCGACAATGAGTGAAATCTTAAATAAGTTGGAAAGAGCCTTAACAGTTGATGAGCTTGCAACTCATGTATTATTTTTTGTCCCATGCATTGATTTAAAATAAGAACAATCTAAGTTGAAGAGAGTGTTGAAAGAGATTAGTTGTTGTTATGTGAGGAAACTCCATTCTATATATCTTGTTGCAGGATATTGAAAGGGATGAAGTTGCAGAGATTAAGGAATCAATGAAGTATGACAAATACGAAGCCTTTGCTCAAACACTGCAACAATCTAAATTCCGCTTTGCTGAGGCAGGAACTAGCTCTGGATCCGACCTATTTCCAACCTCTAGTGCAACAGCTAATGAAGACACATTTGCTCAAATACTGCAACAATCTAAATTACGCTTTGCTGAGGCAGGAACTAGCGGTGCCTCCTCTGGATCCGACCAATTTCCAACCTCTACTGCAACAGCTAATGAAGACTGACTTGTATAGCTAAGTTACGTACGTTGTAGATATATGCATATGCATATGTGTGTTCTGCAAGGGAGAGGGAGATCAGAGGGAAGGAAGCATACATTTTGTGTGGATGAATAGGAAAATAGATGCCACTAAGAGTAGCTTAATTGGAATTGAAGTTGCTGTAATCCAACTGCTCTGAACTTTAATTACGTACTATACTATACGTTGTATATATATATATATATATATATATATATATGTGTGTGTGTGTGTGTGTGTGTGTGTGTGTGTGTGTGTGTGTTCTGCAAGGGAGAGGGAGAGTGAAGGAAGCATACATTTTCTGTGAATGAATAGGAATTGAAAATAGATGCCACTAAGAGTAGCTTAATTGGAATTGAAGTTGCTGTAATCCAACTGCTATGAAATTGAAGTAAATTGCTGCAATAATGAGTGTGTTTTTTTTTTTTTGGTTTCAGACTTTCACCAACTATTCAAATGCTTAGCTTCTATATGGACATATGACAAATTTTGGAAGTAGGGCCAGTTGGGGAGATTTCTACAATATAATCAAGCATACTATATAAATTTTCATCAATTTGACTTACATATTCCTCGATATTTTTTACAAAGATGCCACAGCCCCAAAAGTGAGCTATGGCTCACAAGAGTTTAACAAGGCCATCCGGGCCTAACATCCACAAAGGCCATTCGGCCTAACATCAATACAAGGCCATTCGGCCTAAGAAAACACTAAGGGTGGTCATGAAACGCCCTAAGAACAATGCAATTAAGAGTGAAAGGCCATGACCTTCATCAAATTACAATCTGCTTCTTCAATCTTGATTCCAAAAGATCGATCACCTCCTACTGCTTCATATTCCAGCTTCATCTTCTTTCTCACCTGCAAAAAGAATAAAAGGCCTCATTTCTGCAGTAGAACTGCAGATCAGCCTCCAGATATCTGCACAGCAGGTCTGCCATATGGCTTCATCCCTGCTGCTAGTCCCCAACCAATGCTGTAACCCTCAGAGGCAGCCCATCATAGCAACCCATCACTGGGTACAATCTGCAGATCAGGCAAGATCCACAGAGATATATTCTCTTTTAAAGCCCCAACCATCCTCAACATCTCAGATGTATCATTAGATGGTCTAGAGTGTCTTTGCTGGGAATCACCTCCTTGTCTCTCAAGAGTTTAGTGACATTATATACATATCCCGGAAACAAAGCCAAAATAAGAAGAGAGTAAGTACCAGCTATGTTATTATTATTGTCAATGTCCATGATGCCTAAATCATCACATCATCACCATGCCCAGTTTTATTGCCATGTGTAGGAACTTCAAAGCACATAAAATGTCCAAAGAAAAAACTCTGCAATTATAGAAATAGACAAGGAAAAGCATAATTGGATGGCACCAATCAAAACATAAGTTTACACATGCAAGCACATGGTAAAAAACCCCATAGTAAAAGATAGAGTTTGAAGGATAACCCCATCCACCAGTAGTGGGACAAATACTGTAAGCATTTTAGAGTATGCTTCTGAAACTACACAAGTGTCTACACTGGTTAGACTCTAAGTGGAACCTGAACCTTCAAGCCATACAGTTGGAGCTTTTGGTGCCTTAGTACTGATACGGAGTTCATTTGAAAACTCACGAGCCTGAAAGAACCAACAACACAATGTAGCACCTTAATGTTCCTTAACATCCAAATATAAATAGAATGCTAAGATTTTGTCCAAATTTGCTATAAAATGTGATACAATACAAGGAGATTAGAGTCCAAAATTAGAAAATTAATAGTGTATACAAATCTTAACAGGAAATATATATATATATAAAGTTAGAACCATGCATGTTGCACTCTGTAAAGCAACAAACAATGTACATAAGACTGAGTGTCCAAGAGTATCAAGTGAAAGTGCAGTGTTCTGACTCATTCAAGGGCAAGGCTGCTTAAGCATGATGTGAAAAAAGACCGAGTGTCAAAAAATTAAACAATTATTCTAGATCAGTCAATTTATCCATCTAACATTGTACATACATACTATCTGAGAGCATATTCACTAGTTTATTATCCAATTATTCTAGATTAGTCCATTTATCAAATGTGTCTATTATTATCCAAATCACAAGTTTATGTTCAAAAAGCTATCTGCATATTCACCAGATTTCATGTTTCCTTCCTTCTTAAGAAAGGAAGATTGGCCATTTGGTCGTCCAAGGTGTAAGAGAACAAGAAGGAAATCCATTTGTGGTCTCCTAGTACACCAATTGATATTATCCCAATCAAACATCTTATAGTCCTTTTGGAGCAGTACTACAAAGTAAGTGCAGATAGTATCATCATACTGATACTGAATTTTACACAAGTGCACACCTTGCATTCTTCAACAATGATGTTGATTGAATCAAGCCTCCTATTGGTACTACATTTTAGCTCTAATATATTATTCAACACAATTAGCTAAACAACTCCAGAGCAGTTTAGATATCTTTGTTAAAGGAAAACTAGACACTGTCAAAAAATTCTAATAAAAAATAATTATACAAATATAGATGACAATTAAAAAACACTTACCGTTGGTGGGCGAACTGGTAGGCGGCTATCGCAGCTGAGTCAGAGCCCTAACTTCGTCGAATTCATCAGCGGTTGCAAACTGGTCGGCGACTATCGCAAGGGAGGCGGAACCCTCGTCAGCAGCTTTGTCGGATTCCTCAGCAGATGTCGTCAGATTCGTCAAATACAAACTTAGGAAGACAGACTACGGTCTCTTTTGTTTAATTTTGTGTACAAGACTTAGGAGGACGCCAAATACAAACTTTTGGTGAAAATTATATTTTAATAAAATAATTTTACACAGTAAAGACCGGCTAATATTGTCCAAATTCCAATTGTTAATATTTTATTTGATTTCACATTTTTTTTTTTGTTTTTTTCCAATGGAATGGTGATTTTCACGCAAATGAGGCACATATAGTCATATATTAATACCCAAAATAGTCTTCAACTATAGTGGTTTTTCTCAATTTTGTCCTAAACGACTTTGGTGACTTAGTGTTGTCCCAGAGTTTTGTGTTTTTTCTCAATTTAGTCCTAGACTTTTGTGTTTTTGCTCAATTTAATCTCTTATTTGTTAATCCGTCTATTTGTTGTTAAATAAATAGGCAATTCAGTAATTTTAATATTGACATCTCTTTACTCATAGACATGTGAAGTGTGAAATCCATTTTTTAAAAACGAATTACTCCCAGAATCACTCATAAATTTACGAATATAAAATTTGATTCGTAGGCCTGGGAGTAATTCTCAGTGTAATTCGTACAAGAAAGAGAGATTTCTCACTTCGCATGTTGAAAGTAAAGAGATGTCAATATTGATAGTATTGAATTGTCTCTTTATTTAACATCAATTTGACGGAATAACAAACGGAGGACTAAATTGAGCGAAACACAAAAGTCTGGGACTATATTAGGTCACCAAAGTCGTTTAGGACGAAATTGAGAAAAACCACTATAGTCGAGGACAAATTTGAATATTAACTCATTGTTACGGTAAGGATATTCAATAAGAATTAAATTGTAAGCTACTCCATATAGCAACAAATATATTACTCAAAAAATAGATGTATCTCCTTCTAAACTACTATTTCTGAGATACTATGTATGAAATTGTCCACATAGTAAACCCTTTGGTGTTTTATTTAAAGGCAACATATACATACAAAAACTAAACCTCATGCACTTTTTTATATACTTATATAAGTTACTAATGCTGCTGTGAAGAATTCGATTCAAGAATTGTTGAGTCAATTATGGTCGGACAGCATAGATTTGATAAAATTGGTGGTGATTTGATCTTGGATACCTAGAAGAGAAGAAAGAGGTGAGCATTAATTGCGGATATCACAATCACTGGTTATAATAATTTTTAGAGGTTAATAACAAGCATTTTGGCTGATGAAGTGCATAATTAACTTATTCTGAATTTAGATAACAGAATTTTAAATAATAATAATAATAATAATAATAATAATAATAATTGTCTAAGCATTATTACTTTCTGATCATAAGTAAGCATAGACTATCTTTTCCTAATCATAATTAAAAAACCTTAAGAAATTCATCACAATATAACTTGAACCCATAATCTCCAAAAAGGAATCATGAGTAAAAAACATTTAGGACATAGTAACTTGGCCAACAAAATATTCTCAAACTACTAGGAAATGATCCCAAAACTAAAAAAAATGCACAAAAATTAGCGTTAGATAAATCAAGCAATCCTGTTAAGGATTTATCCTCATCACTACTTGCAGAAGCACTCATAAGAATCATCAAATTTGGTTGCTACTGCTTTAGCTAGACAGGTATATACTACATAGTTTGAACATTGGGCCACAAAAACTATGTACCACACACAAACTAATAAATTAAAGCTGAAAAACACCATAAATAAAACTGGTCAGAAAGCTGAAATTGATAAGAAAATTTCTCTAATAGCTCCACTAAAACCTTCTAAGTTATCAAAATTAAAACTGGAAACTTAAAAAGCAGAATCAATGAATTAATGGAAAAACTTCTAATAATCTAACAAATAAATATAAGGAGTTGCGTAGAGATTCCACATAAAAACAATGAACGAAGACACCTTAAAAATAATTGAAAAATTAACTCTCAAAAAAATAATGCTTAAAAATAAATTAATCTAGCCTTAATAGGAAGGTACCATATGTTTCACAGGAAGCAAGCAAGCACAAGGAATCTGTGAAGAACTTAATCTAGCTTTCATAGGAAGTAAGCACAAGCAATCTATCAACAACTTAAATGCTCTTTCATCAATTTTCCACAAATCAAATTTACATTTCCAATGTAGGGATGTAAAAATGGGAAAAACAAAACTCGTTGCAAAAAAAGTTCACAAGGAAAACACAAACCTATTAGACAATAAACACTTTGACAAATCGAGAATAGAAAAACACAAGCAATGAAGGATAAACAAATATCAATAATTAGAACAAAAAGTGAAAAGGTGAAGAAGGTTACTTAGGAACCATAGCTGCTGAGAGTTGTGTTGTTGTACCTCTGGGAGAGAACAACCCTAATCATAAATTCTTTATATTGATACCGGACCAAGGTCAATATAAGTTGGACAAATCCAGCATCTGAATGCGTAGAGTAATAATTTGTATAGACACAATATATTAAATCAAATTGTATTCAGTTAAGCTGGTTCGATCTGTTTTTAAAAATGCATATAGGACCATCTTCCTCATTCAATTAATTCCATTAGCTCACCCAGCCCCCACTCAACATACTCAGATTGCTCCAAATCAACAGATAGACTCAGTAGCAACCCTTTCAAGCCAATCATTGTTGCGGAATCAACTCTATCCAAGTTAATTTGTTTTAAAAGACTTTATCTGGCAATTAATATAAACTATTTATGGATGCAAATATAAGGAGTGAAAAAAGACAACCAATTTCATGCTCACAAAAGTAACCATCAAGAAACAACAAACACTATTTGCTGGACTTAAATGCATATAGAGGTGAAAAGGGGTAATAATTTGAAACAAATTTCACGTTTTTTTATATTATACATTAAGTTTCACAGCTTATGCTAGACTAATCCTAAGCGTCCAGGCCACAACCCAAGGGCGCGGGAGGAATTAAATCGCGAGTCACCCAATCAGTCCTCTGATCAAATTTCATCTAATTTAATTAGTAGAAGACTTAATTTCCTCCGGTGAGCTTAAACAATTTGCAATTATACCAAAAGTCAAATACTTTCTAAGGGGCATTAAAACCCTACCAAGTCAGCACTCATAGTTATGAATCGTATGTATGTTAATGAATACTATATGTAACTGGCAACTTAAAGAGCATAAAGGCCAGAAAAGCAAATAAATTTGAAACTATAATTAAAAGCACAATCCATGAAAAGGGCATAACACCGCAAGAAAATGGCTTTCTTGCTCGTCTGATCGCGAAGCACATGCGCTGGATTCTCCTTAGTGGCGGTCGGATGTGCTTCTCCTAATTGCCCTTTGCTGGTATTTGATTCTCCTTAGCCGTGCTTCTCCGTACTGCTACCTTAATTTGTTTGCGGTCGGTGATAATGCTTCTTCTAATTGCCATTAAAATTTGTTTTCGGTCGGCGATAATGCTTCTCTTAATTGCCATTAAATTTCACGTAAATTTCAATTTTGCCACCGCGCAACTTCATTTGACGGAATCCTTACATTTGGTTTTGTTAATTTTATGACTTTTGAGTAGTCAATAACTGGTCAACACAATCGTTAAAATATGAATAGACGTTACGCTTTTCATGATTTCGTTACTTCAATTTTCAATATGAATATTTAATGAGCAAAAACAAATTTCAAAGCCACAAAGAACACAACAAAAATCATATGGGAAATAAATTTCACGGAAAAATCTTATATATAATCAAAGCTTTTAAAAAAATAAGAATTTTAAAACAATCAGACAAGTAATCAAAATTCATAAAGGTATTCTTGGTAATAGATCACCAAGAGAAACAAAAATAATCAGTGAGATAAATCAAATCAAGATCTAGCAGAAGTTCAATATTGAATGAAAAGGGAAACTCACAAAACACTAATTAAACAAAAAATCCCAGCAAGATTATCTTTTTTTTTTTTTTTTTTTTTATCGAAGTTGTGTAGAAGCTCAAGAGAAATTTAAGTTCACTTGCTTTCTTGCATTGTGCTCGCTTTAACACTGATGTCCGGCAAAAGTAATATGCAAGCATGGCGTGGTGCTTGTGTGTCACTTTTACACACTGACACTTAATTGTTTAGACGTTATGCTTTTCACGGCTTCAACTTTCAATATGAATATTTAATGAGAAAATTAAACTCTTGGTCCCTTAATTATTTAAAATGTTAAAATTTGATCTCTTAATTATAAAATAAACATATTTGGTCACTTAATTAACTCTACAATTGTAGATATATATGGCATCTTAGTTATAAAATGAACACATTTACATTTGGTTTTGTTGATTTTATGACTTTTGAGTAGCCAATAACTGGTCAACACAATCGTTAAAATAACGGATATATGAGAAAAATATAGAAAGTATTTAGAGAGAGTAGATATTTTATATTATTAAAAATTGCTTGTCCTCTCCATGTATGGTGGTCTATTTATACATATTTTGGACTAGAAGCCCTATAAGGAATAGAACAAATTAAACAAGCTCTACAAGGAATAAAAATAATAAATATTTACAATTGGTGGAGAGGATGCTAATTTTTGAAACGTACACTTACTCTGAGATGAGTTGTGAAATTACAATAATTGTACAAACAATGAATGCAATCAATTAATCTCAACTTCGGATCAAGGTCATCCCTAGATTATTACACATAATAAAATTCTATTAAAAAAAATACTTTGCATTTATTATGGAGTAAAGCCTATCTAAGTCTTTGCCATCGGCTAAGTAGTGTGATGACATCTCTGTCACCATTTATGTTACATTTCTAAACATAACAAATTGACAAAATATTTGGCACCGAATTAATTATTAATTACTACCAAACTAATTATTGGGTCATTAAACTAAAAAAAAATTAAAATTAGATCCCCGAATAATGTAATTGAACTTAAAATGACTTATTGACCCGGTAACATGATGATATGATCGAATTTTAAAATATTTTTTAAATTTTATTTTAATAAATTTAAATTACA